ACACCCTCTCTCTCAACATTCCTAGACACTCTGCACACGGATACAATTTCTCAGAAAAAACAGCAGCTTTGCACTGTTCCCATCTACCACCCTAAGCTTCTTGCAACACAGTAGGAAAAGAAACACCTTTTTCTGCAAACAATGGAAGTTCCCTGTATTTTCCTTAATGAGCTAATGCCGGTGTAAGAATGAAACCCTTCACCTCTAATCTGGTATAAGCATCACTGGGAACATTTGTGCAAATTATGGAAGTAGCCATAGTTACAGTCAAAGAAATTAGCTTTCAGACCACTACCTGCCCAAGGGCTCAGGCAAGATCCCAGGCACAACCATAAGCAGATACTTATTTTCTTCTTCATGCAGTACTTGCTTTTAGCTCCAATCCAGAAGCAATCCCTGACCCCAAAAGCTGATGGCTAGATACAAACCCATTTTACCTTGTGATTCCATTGAAACAAGTCAAAGTAAGACTCCTTGCAGATCCAACATAGAACAGAGGAGTTTGAGTTTAAAGGCAGATTAGTGCTTGGGTAAAGCATTAGAGGACAGGGCTTAGAGTCAGACAGTCCCCTGCCACTCTAATAAAGCTGACCTGCCTTTAGGGCAATGGAAAAAACTTCAATTCAGCATTTCACTTGTCTGAAAGATGCCAACTCCACTACCATCTAAGCCTGCTATTGCTGACAAACCCTGATAGTTCAAGGGGAGATGACCATACTGCTTCTTACAACATAGGCTGCTTTTGCGTAGCTCTTATAAAAAATTAAGGTCAGATATAAAAAAGCTTTTGTTGATAATATCACAAATCTCAGAAGCTAGCACTCACACTGTTACTGAATACACAGAGAACTGAAGATGTTTGCTCTAAGTCACAGGAAATCCAGCGAACGTGTTTCATACCTACCTTGTATCCCTTGATACATCACAGCAAAGAGCTGTAAGGATTCCCTGTACGAGGCTCAGCAGTAGCTGCGTTTCTTTATTGTCCATGCTTCCTGACAAACTACTCTCTCCAGATTTAAGTGCAAGACACGGGTTATCAGAGGACCTAGGAGAGAAAAATGAAACAATAACACAGGTTTGAAAAGGCCTTGAAGAAACACGAGGGAGGTTTTTAGTCCAGGGTACAACCCTGCCGCCATCTATAGCAAAACTTTTCACTATTGCTCAAATTGAGCCTAGGATCAAAGGAGACCTGTTGAACAATTACAGGCACTGGGAAAGGGATCAGCCAAGGTACTGCCATATTCCGCAGCTGCATTCATTAGCTCCAGGCAATTCTAGAGAGGTGGGCTACAGGTCTGGGTGTGCAGCAGGCAAGTAGCAATTCTGTGCCCACAAGACCTCCAACAGGACATTCTTAGAGGAACAAGTATCAGTCCAGAAGCACTGATACGCAGCGCACATAGCAATGACTTAATTTTAGCCTCTTCTTTCAAGCCCCATGCACCTTCAGGCATACTGCTTGGAAGAAGCTGCTTGTGTGCGACTACAAGGCTTTTTTTGTTAATAGGATCGCAATGGGAAATTCTGGAGGCAGCAAACGTTTTCCTTCAACCTCCTCCTTCCTAACGTTACTGCGAATCCTAGAGCCACAAGGGACAGCAAGATTCCTGCAAGCAGAAATAGACAGCTTTCCTTGCTTTTAAGGAACTCTGCTGGCAATTGCGGAGAACATGTCTGTAGTACTCTGTGTTCAGGAAAGACTGTGCTTGGGGGAATATCCAAATCTCTGGCAAGCACATTAGCCAAAAGCAGGCTTGCTATGCAAAACACACAGCTTTTCACCTTCTTGGTTTAAGAAAAGAAAACCTAAAAAACCCTTTCAGAGTACTGCCTTTCACTTCCTTGGAGTATTACTTCATCATCCTCCACCCCCACCGCTGAAATCAGTTTGTTGGAGCTCAGGCAGCCAGGCTGGTTAGCTCAAACAGGAGGTCATATTGGGAAACGGGGATGTACTGTAACTTCTCAGGGATGGCTTAGTGAAAACTGAGGCCAAGACCAGAGCTGCTCCCTTGTAAAGCTCTGTAAGAAGTACGATTCCTGGGATACATGGGGCTCCCAGCCCACAGACCGGGAGATAACAAGCAAAGACCACCTAACACAGGGGCTTGCAACCTCTCAAGGGCCACAGGCCAAACACCACCCTCCTTTCCCAAAGGAGAGGTTTTGTATGTTTCTCTGGCACTCCTACCAGCAACCCCAGGAGATGCTGGTTCTCTCATGGTGCAGAGACTCCTAGCTCAGCACTGCTGCTCCACGGTCAGTGTGTCCAGCTACCAACATCAATGCCCACACCAGAACTTCTATTCTTTAGTGCTGTGAAAACAAGACTTTTTTTTTTTTTTTTTTAAGCAAACTCCACCTGGGATCATCAAGTGAAGATGGTTATCTGTTAGTTCTTTTCTATCTCTAACAGTCCATTTAATTCTACATCCACTTAATTACATCCTTAGTTACATCCTGGATAGATAAAAGGCTGATTTGCCTTTCTGTTTTTTTTTTTCATAAACAAACGTTATCTTCATTAGATCTCATGCTGTGTGTGTTGTGGGTGTTGGCTAGAGTCTGAATTATGCCAACAATTCATCTGTGTGCAAGTTCTTCAGAGGGCTGTATATCACATCTTGCTTACTTGCTTGTGCCCTGTGTGCCTTCCACTTTCCCATGACTCTGGGCTAGGGAACAGGGCATCACAAGATGTGCTTTAAGGACAGAGCTGTTCTACAAATTGATCACATTTCACTGTAGGACAAACTTGTCTTTCAGTGATGTGCACAACATACCAAAACCAATACTTGACTGAAAGCCTGCGGAATAAGGACCCACTAATGAAGCTGGGAACGTTTGGATCTGTTCACAGTACTACTTGATGATATAAAAACTGAGTGAGTTATAACTAGGAGAGAAAAAGAATGACATTGTCTGCAGCATGCAACTGCTCAGTGGTCATGCCTGTGGGTTAGCAAAGGCTAAGCTAGCAAAGGCTTGGCTTGGAAACGTCAGGTTCCTGTTTTCCCCTTCCAGTTCAGTAGTCATCTTCAGAAGCATATGCTTTCAGGTTAGGAATCCAGGGGGTAAAGAGATTACAAGAGCAACCTCTGCAGAGCCATTTGTTTTGCTTTCACCACAATAACCTGAGAGCCCAACAGCTCCCAAGCTTGCCTTAATTCCACACTCACTGGCCTTTTCCCAGCAAGTCCCTTCCCTTCTGCACCAAACCTTCTCTCAAAAACACTGAACAAACACACAGAGACAATAGCATTGATCAGGGCAAATCCCCACCTCTTCTACTGCTGCATTTGCAAAAATAACCACAGTTTTGTCACAGAGCAAAGCCTCAGAGAACTGCGCCAGGAGGTGGGAAACAGTTTAGTGAACCAACTGGTCTATGTTTCCCACAGGCTGAAATGCCCCATGAGACAAAAAGACAGTGGCTTTCATTGAGGAAGGCTAGCAAGTACCTCCTCAGTCTCCACACAGCAGAGTTGCAGAGAATGGAAAACTTGGGGTTTTATTACTGCTGTTTTGTCTGCTTGGTATCCAGCCCCACCCAGCTAATGCCCCAGTGAAGAAACTGCCTTGAATCTATTTTATAGCAGCAGATGATATGGGTCCGAGCTGAAATATTTCCCCCTCTCCCACACGGTAATGGGAACATAGGCAGGCTCCTCCAGCCAGCTCCCACGCACCAGGGAAAGTCCTTGCCTGAAGCAATTACTGGGAGATGGGGTATAAATGCCCTGAATTTGGCCATATGACAGCTTCTGGTCACTGGAACTTGTTTTAGTTCTTTCTGCAAGCGCAATGACTACTCAGCTACTAAGCATGTTCCCTATGGCCACAGCTACAGGTGTTAACCTCTCTGTACTGAATGAAGCAGACCAAGTCTTCCATCACACTGCTTTTCTGCTTTTTGAGCTCTTCACTGTTCACCCCATCCTGCCTAAGATGCCACACTGAAATGGCTCTGCTCCCGGCATTCCTTTCTCAGATACACAAAGATGGACTGATGAGCCACTTTATTTGAGAGAATTAAAAACAAAACCACCATAAAAATACACTCCCAGCAACAATGGCTGGAAACGTCAGCTGGAGTTACACAGGCTGGAAAGAACCAGAGCTCCTTTATCCAAACGCTTCCCTCAGTAGCCTTTTGTCTGTGCCACCCCAGCAGGAAGCCTAGCATATCACCCAAGAGCTGACAGACAGAGAGACAAAACTGACACCACTTCAGGGCTGATTTGGGTTGTGGGTTTTTTTTTCCCTTTAAAATCTATTTGATGGAAAAGAAGAAGATATTCTGATCTTTGACTAGGAATCTCTTAGACAGCTGTTCCTCCAAGGAGCAGGGCAGTACTGCAGACAGGTGAGGAAGTAATTTAGTAAACTCATGGCTAGCTGGCCCCCCATCAGAAAAGCAGCCACTCCAGCTCCTGTCTCTGGCAACTGCCAGGAACAGGAGAGTTCCACGATTCTCCACTGCTACAGAGAGAAACATAAGAATCACAAAGCCCAAATCCCTCTGTACCCCTGGCAAAAAATGCAGGCATGTTATCTCAGCACTTCATGTCTGGCTGCAAAAATCGGGCCCTGCACAGATACGAATTACAGAATCACATCCAGATCTACTAATTTTAGAGACAGAAGTGAAATATCTCTTGCTAAAGGTCTTTCCCATACTCTTCTCACTGACTTAACAACAGAAACCATCCCTCTTAACATCTGACAGGACAAATGTGCCATTTGGCATCCTTTGGGGTGAAAAGTGCTACAGGAATGCAAGATGTAAGCCTGCTTCTTGAGTGGTATAAATCACTGTGTCCCCAGCTTACACTTGGAAAAATGTGGCCTTACAGTGCCTCCCTCTCTGT